GAGTTATATGAAGTCTTATATAGTGCTCAATGTAATTTTAGTTTATAATTACAAATTTATTTACATTAACGAATAAATCTTTGACAAGCTCATCATTTATAGATGAATAATAAATTATGAATTATTTTATATATCTTTAACAAAAGTATCAAACAAAAGCTTATTGGCATTATTTATACCAAAATAGTAAATAAGAGATTTAAATAATTTTTTGTAATTTATTTCACTTTTACTAATTATAATTAAATAACAACTCCAATTGGTTGATTTTATTGGTTATTAGTCATTTTTTAATTCCTAAAAGGGGCATATATAATTTTTTTTGTTAAAATACTAATTTGATCCTTTAACTTTTAGATTTATATCAAATTTGTCCCTTAACTTTAAAAAACACCAAAATTATCCTTAAACGTTAGTTTTTAAAAGCAAAAGAGTCCTTCTGTTGATAAAAATGTCATATAACTCATTATTTTATCACAAAATCAGTTCTTTTTTAAAATATTAATGAAGTGCAAAATCAAATAGTCATATTTTGCTATTGTAATATATTTCTATTTACATATCAGATTAATATATAATCAAAGCTGAAAAAATAAATTAATATTTGTAATCAAAGTTTTAAGGACTAAACTGGTATTTGTTTTCAAAGTTCAAAGACTAAATTTGTGTTATCTTCAAAGTTTGAGGATTATTTTGGTATCTAAAATTAAAATTTAGGGACAATTCTAGTACTTTTTAAAGTTGATTAACAATTTTAGTACAAATATAAAAGTTGAAGGATAACATTGGTATTTTAACCTAAATTTTTAGGGGTAAACCTAAAGGGGGATATGAAGTTTGTACAAGTTCGAGAATTTCAATTTAAATTTTGAGTTAAGTAGGAAAAAATTATGAACCTCATGCCTTGGCCTAGTGGTCGAGACCATTGATTAAGTGGGATTACTTTTTATGGATTATGTTTTTAAACCTTATGGATGACGTTTCTCCCTCTTGAAATTGCCCCTGTTCAAAAAAAAAAAAAAAGTAGAAAATAGGAAGAAAATATTTATGTAGTAATCAATAAATGATATATTAAGGAGAAACAAAATATTTCTTTCTTTTCACGCCACATAGTCAAATATAGGCTTGATTTACATTTACATAGTCAAATATAGGATTGATTTATAGAAATGTAGGGAAGAACTATATTGTCCTATAAAGGGACATGGTTAAGATTTTGAATCTTTAGAATAGATAGAGAAATTTAGAAATAAAAGGATTATAATTTATTGTATAATTATTATTTGATGTACTGACAAAATTAAAAAAATAGTAAATAAATAGAAAATAAAGAAATAAATCTTTTTTGTGGTGACAATAAAAATTGATAAGCAATAATAAAGAAATACTTAGAAGGAGATAACAAAATACTCAAAATTAATTCCTGCTAAATATGTGTTTGAAATTATCATAAATTATTAAAAAAAATAAGTTTCATATTTTTTAAAATATTTTTTGAATGTTAAATTTATTAATTTAAAATTTTACAGGTGCGGTATATATAAATAAAATTTTGAGTTAAATAATTAATTCTCATAAATATTAATTAAAAAAATAAGTAACAAATCTTTTAAAATATAATTTAATAATACAAACTGAATGCCTTTTCAGATTCCTACATACAGAAGATTGCGCGTGGAAGGATGGTAAAATCAATCCAATCACACCCTCCCCCCACTTAAAGGAATGGTATTCCTTCGCTTCAAAAAAAAAAAAGAATGGTATTCCTTTTAATTAAATAATTAATTTTTAGGGACCCATGTATAAATATCAGCGGTGGTGGTTTAATTTAGAAAGACAATGGCAGACAAAGTCGCAATTGCGATTCTCCGCATATTCTCATCCATTGGATTACACTGCTTAGAAAATGGATTTTCCATTTCTTTTACATTTATATATATAATGATATATATAGTTTTTTTTTAATATAATTTTTTTATATATTATTAAATTAATGAATATATTTAATATTATAAATTTTATATAAATAAAAAATTAATTATTTAAATAATTTATAAAATTATATAAAAATAATATAAAAAAATTATCTTTAAATTAGTTTTTAATGGATATTAAGTACTCCACTATTAAAAATATAATATTATATAATATAATAATAATAATAATAAAATCCTCTGATTCTATTTAATTTTATTACTACAGGTACAAAGTCGTGGGTTTTGGTGTTATTTAATGGCAGTGGTAATATGGATGGGTGGTAGACTTGATAATTTTTTACCCAATCCGTTAATCCGCTCATCACCCGTCCGTTTAAAACGGGTTAGAATTATATATTTATGACTCGTGACTTGTTAAGAGAACCCAACGGGTCACGGGTCAATAACGGATTGACTCATCGGGATAACGGGTTTGACCCGTTTACCCGTTTAAAAATATAAAAATTTTTAATTTATTATTATTATTATTTTTCCAATTCTCAATTCTACCTAAACCTCTAATAATTGATTAATATTCCCTAATTAACTAATTAATTCTCTTGACTCATCATCTTCTAGAAGTAAAAATAATCCCACTTCACTCATAACTTATCTTCTGACCTTTCCTATTCTTGCTTGCCCTAATACTCTCGAAGACTCTAACTCTTCAAACTTCAAACTCTTCTCATATTCTTCAACCTCCATAGTTCATACAGCCTTTGATTCTCAAGTTTCGACTCCACATTTTCTCTTTAGTCTTTAACATTATTTCAGACTTAAATCTTAGTCTTATCGAGTCACTGTTGCGTCCACTGAGCCTTTTCTTTTTTTTCTCCTATGAGTTCAGTAAGTGCTCTTTTTGTCACCAACTTTTCTCTCTAAAGACTTCAAGGTAAGTTGTTTACTTATTTATGCTTTTTAGTTTTCTTTCCATTCCAAGTAAAAATTTTACTTGATTTTCTCCTTTACTTACTTAGAT